CTCCCTGTGCGTAGGATGTCAGAGCCACAGATGGTGGTGGACCTGCAGGAGAACGTGGAGAGCATCAATGTCACCATGAGCTGTCCTTGGGGTGAGCAGCCACAGCAGCTCGGAGTCACTCCAAAGAAGGACAGGCGGAAACCCAAGGTACCAGCTGCTGCCAAAACTCCCCACATCCTCCTCCCTGTCCTCCTTAGATGCCACCGTTGCCCCCTCGCTGAGCAGCTCTGCCCTGTGACACCTGCAGGGATGCTCCCCTCACTCCATTCTTTGGTGCATCTTCTGTAGGTGCTGGGCAAGCCTGCCTCAAAGGACCGCCGCCATGATGGGGATGGGCTCTGCCGGCTGCACCCACAGCCCCATGCAGCCAGGGGCACCTTCCGCTTTGGGGGTGCCCCAAGCAGTCGCTGGGAGTTTGAGGAGATTCCAGCCTCCTTTGGCCAGAGGTGAGGCTCACCCCATGTTCACCCCACACAAGCTTGGCCCTGGGGACCATTGCTTGGAGAGCAGGTGTTCCTTGCAGTTGTGGGAGAGCAGGGTGCTCCCGTCACTCCCCTGTCCCTGCAGGTCCCATTTCTCCCTGGAGGTGAAGCTGAACTCCTCCAGTGGGCTGCTCTTCTATGTGGCGGGCAAGCGGGGCACCTTCATGGCTCTCTTTGTCTCCAACGGGCGCTTTGTCTTCCTGGTGGACGTCGGTGGGCGCCGGCTGCGCCTCCGCAGCAAAGACAAGTACCATGACCGGCGGGGGGGGAGGGGGGGAGAGAGGGGAAGGGAATGGGCTCAGCAGGAGCTCCTTGAGCCACATTGTTCCCGTGACCCCCCCCTCGCCAGGTGCCCGTGCAGGGGTTAGCTTGGTGCAGCCCTGCTCTGGGCATTGCTTCCTAATTGCACATGGGACACCTGCAGTCCCACAGCAGCAAAGGGGACGGCAAAAACACAGCCAGGGCTGGCTGAACCTCTGAGCTGAGGTCTCCCTTCCCTGGGTGCAGCCCTGGGGCTCCTCCCAATCCAGAAAACCCCCAGCCCTGGCACTGACCTTTGGTCCTTGCAGGTCTTCTTCAGCAGAGATCAGAGCCGAGCCCAGCTGGTCATTGATGGGCTGCGAGCCCAGGATGCTGCAGTGGCCACTGCAGGGCTCTTTGTGGCCCGAACCCCCTTGTATGTGGGGGGGATCCCGGCTGGAAAAGCCAAGGCTCACATACCGGTAAGGGCTTGGTGGTCCCATGGCATCACCCTATCAGCCAGTTCCCGTGCCTGCCCTTTTTTGGCTCCTCCACGCTCACTCTGGTGACTAATCTCAACAGGTTGCATCAGCCTCCAGCTTCGACGGCTGCCTGAGGAACCCACAGCTGGACGGCAGGCCCCTGGGTCCCCCCTCACGCACCTTTGGGGTGACACCATGCTACGAGGGCGCACTGGAGAGCGGGGTCTTCTTCGCTGCGGATGGCGGGTCCGTCGTCCTAGGTACCCCACAGCAGCCTGGGCTGGCTCCCACAGCCCTGGGACTGGGAGGGATGCATCTCATGGGAGGTCCCTTGTCCCCCTCCTCACCAGTAGCATTTCTCTTCCAGCTGATGCAGTGGCAACCGAGCAGGACTTGGAGGTGACACTGGAGGTCCGTCCCCGCAGTGCCTCTGGCCTCATCTTCCACATGGGCACGAGGAGAAGCCACCATCTCCTGTTGTACATGGAAGAGACGAAGGTAGTGGGACGGTGGCTTCCCCACAGGTTCTCAGTGGCAGCAGCCATCTCCTGCCCATCCCGCTCAGCTCACTGGGCTCTAACGGGTTTGTCTCACACACCAGGTCACTGTGAGAGTGAATGCTGGGGCTGACGAGTTCTCTGCATCGGTGACATGCCCATCTCTCTGCAATGGGCAGTGGCACACTATTGCAGGTGAGGTGACAGCCAGCACTTGGCTCTGGGACACTGCTCTACTCCTGCTCAGCCCACATCTCCTGGGGGGAGCCTGGGCCCCTTCCTTGGGTATTTAAACCCCAGCTCCCACCTGTATGCACTTAATTTGGGAGACTGTAGCTGCTATTAAGTCATTTCCTAATTAAGAGTCGTTGCCTGATCTTGTTAGTGCTGTCAGATCTGGTGGGCAGGAGAGACAGGGTGTTTCCCCAGGTCATGGAGCAGCTGGTGAGGCCAGGGGTGTTCCACCGTCCTGCTGGGCCAGTTGTGGCCTTGGCTCCAGCCAGGGCTGTCCTGCTGAAAGCAAAAGCCCAGCTGCGTCCAAAGGGCTCAAAGCCCACAGCTGGGACCAGGGATTTGCAGGATTCACACTTGTATGGGCAAAACTCAGCCTTTAATGTGTTTGCCATTGAGCAAGAGCTAAGGTTTATGCATCAAGCCCTTTCTGGGAGTGGGGGTCACAGTTACAGCCCCTGTCTCAGCACAGCTCTATTTTAAGCCCTCATCTTGCCTGACCCAGCACCGGCTAAGAGCCATCATGTGCTCCTGGCGCATTTTCAGCTTCAGGACCTCCCCCCATCTGTGGCCGGAGCCAGTCTGAGCCGATCCCCTTACACCCAGCATGTGCTGTGTCCCACCCCGCTGGGAGAGGGCAGCCCTCTTCACTAGATCAAGACACAGTGGCTGCTGTGGCCAAAGGACAGAGTTTGGGGGAGGCTCCCCAAAACGCTCCTCTGGGCGTTTCCCAAAAGCCAGGCCAGGTCCTCTGACCCTCCCAGTAGTTTTGCTCTGCTCCAGCACTCGTCTGTGCCAGAGGGCGGAGGTGGACTTGCTCTCTGGGTGAGGAAGCAGCACTGACTCTTGTTTTCTTTCAAAGTTACCAAATGGAAAAACATAATCCAGGTTGATGTGGACACAGAAGGCAACTACACAGTGGGACCCAGCCAGCCTCCTGCACCCAGCGCAAGGGCGACCTTCTACATGGGAGGGCTGCCAGGTGAGTTGGGAAAGACGCGCTCCAGAATTTATACACCAAAGCCAAGAGAGGTACTATTCCCAAAATACACCAAAGCCAAGAGAGGTACTATTCCAGGTGCAAGATAGAGGTACTCAATCCCCTGCCCTCTTATTAGCCAGACTAATGCTTGCTTTACTTGTTCCTTCTGCAGAGACAGACAAGGCCAGCACAGTGTCACCGTTACCTCCCCTCTCTCATTACATGGGCTGTATAAGGAACCTCGTGATTAACCAGAGCCACGTGGACCTGCTGCGAGCCGGGACTGTCAGGGGCTCCGTTGGCCTTAAGGGTTGCCCCGTGCTGTAAGTAAGTGCACCTCTGTGTACAGCCTGACCACAGAAAGCTGCACTGCTCCCTCGGCCCCAGACGTCACCTATTCGATAGCATTAACTGTGGTCAAACATACTTGATCTCCAGCAACTGCAGGCACACGTCTGGGGCCAAAACCAGAGAGGGGCCACAAATCCAAGGGGAAGGAGGGCAGGGGAGGAAGGTGGGGAGAAGGGGGCACTTCGGGGACATCTTTCACAAATATAACCAAAAAGTTGGAGGATGTGGAGGCAGGTCTGACTCCTTCCCCGGTGGTCAGGCATCTGCAACAGGACTCATGCTGCCACATGGCTCGTGGCAAGAGCAACTGTCCTCTACAGAACGTGGGCTGAAGCACACAGCAGCCGTGCATCATGTCCTAAATCCTGTTCCCTTTACCCCACACTTACAACGCACATAGATTTAGTTCACGGAACACTTGAGGATATTAATAAGTCACAGACTGTCTTCTGCTGAAGGCTGTAGGCAGTTTCTGTTTTATAATAAATGCAATTAGGACAAACTGGATTAATTCCGTCACTTCTGTGTTTTTATAAGCAAGGACGCATTTAACCCCCCCCGAAGGGCAGTCTCAGTTCACCTGCTGTTGTTACACAAAGAGCTCTGCAAGGGGGGACTTGGACAAAATTCTGTTCACAGAATTAGCATCTTCTTATCAGATTAATTTATAAGAATCAAAAAAAAAGGAACAAAATAGGCTGGGAGAACTGCTGAGGAAAAGCAGAAAGACACAAATACCACTCTGACTCTGCAGTTGCGTTCAGCGCTGGTAGATACACTGACAAAAGTCCTGTTGCACGAAGCAAGAAACTGTCACTTGAAAGGGAAGAAATAAAGAAAGGTTACCTCCGAGTCTGGCTGGGTGTGAGAGGTGCCACTTGGTCCTCACTCGCCCTGCCAGCAGCTGCCCTTCCCCTGCTCGGCCTCACTCATGCCTGTTGTAGTGCAGTCTTCACTTGAAAAAAACTTTTTCTCCCAAGACACCTAGTTCACTTGTGCACTTACACGTCATATATATATTTGTGTGTGTATATATATATATCTAGCCACTTGGGGACAAAAATCTTGCTTCTGAAATGGACTTATAACTTATATCATTATATTGTGCTTTTTTTTATGAGGGGTAAATATTGTAAAATGGGTTTTTAACATGTCCATCTTAAAACAAGTGTAATTATGACCTGTTTTTAAGTTGTAGTATTAAAGATGGTCTTTGTAAATCACTGGTACATACTTTGGAGTCGAATAAAGTTTTATGTTACTCTCTTTCACTTTACCGGCGAAGAGCAAGTCTAAGGCTGATGTAGAACTGGAAGAGGAATAATCACCACCTCAGGCAGTAGCACAACAGGGACGTTATAGTTGTATTTGCCGTAAGCAGCTCCCTCCTAGTACGGCAGCTGCGGTGGTAGTGCTCTGTTCAAAGGTGACATCCTGCACCCAGGACAGGACGACCCTTGCAGCAGTACACGTGGGACAACGACTGGGTGAGCTGGCAGCCCTGCAGATCACAACCTGGTGGGCCCAAAACTGGATGGCAGTCAGCAATGCGTCCTTGAGATGCTCCTTACTCATACAATCACAGGGCTTAACCCTTTTAGCACAAGGAAATCAGAAGAATTAGTCTAGCCTCATGTCAAAAGCATCAAAACTGAACAGTAAGCAACTCCACCGAAAATAAAGAGCAAATACTGCTTTAAGTGTGCACGTTAAACAGACTGAGAAAGAACAGTATAGCAGATAAAGAAAATTCCTTTATTTGTAGATTTATATAAGCATAATATGAAGTTAGTAATCCTACTGCAGTTGCTTAAGTTAGTATCTAGGAATATCTGTAAGGAAGAGCAAATAACTTAATCTAAACTCATATCTTCCTCTTCATCTTTCTTGTCCTTAGAGTCTCCTTCCTTTTGGTCTGACTTGACACTGTTCTGCATTGCTTTGGCAAATGCTTCTACATCTAGAAGTTAAACACATTAGTTATTTAACTTTGCACTTTCTGGGATGGAGTTCGTTGTCCACGTGAGGTTAGGCTTCATTACTTGGAAAGTAAACAGTTGCTTTAATAAGAATCTATTAGCAGAGAAGAAACTTTTAACACTCATTCAATATATAACATGCATTTGAATCTCTGACATAGCCACATTTTCTGCACTTTAACTGTGCACAGGCAGCTTAAGACCAGCATTACTTGAGTCACGGCATGGATTCTAAAAGCTCATCAGGTAAAACAGATACCCCTCCCCGCAGTGCTGCAGGCCCCTACTGTGTTCACTTATTTCAGATGAATCATTAAAGACTCCCACAAAAAAGGCATTCCTGAACAAGGTGACTACGACAGCTCCAGAGTCTTTTGCAGAAAACAATGCCAAGGCTGCTCAGCACATCTCTTTGCAGAACCCCGACTTCTCTGAATGCGTGGCTGACACCACACTGCGTCTGCTGGGGAACACCTGAGCCACTCGCCTTTTCATTGTAAAAAAGCACAGTGCAAGAGTCGGCTTCTGCCAGTTACTTGGCAGCTAATCATTACAGTCCACATTCAGTGGCTGTGCGCAGTGCAAAAAAAAAACCAAACCACAAACCAAACCCATCACGTTCCCAACAGCACCGGTACTTACCTCCTACCTCCGGGTCCACATTCAATGGCTGTGCGCAGTGCAAAAAAAAAAAACCAAACCACAAACCAAACCCATCACGTTCCCAACAGCACCGGTACTTACCTCCTTTATTTGCTGCATCTACTGCCTCTGCGGGTAAGCCAAACTGACTCATTAGTGGGCCAAGCTGTCCTGAAGCTAAGGCAGCACTGAACATGCTCAATGCCTGTGAATTGGAGTCAACAGCGTCAAAAAAAGTTTGCGTCATGTTTCTCCAGCATCAGGTGCAATAACCGCGTGAGGAGAGCGGTCCTGTTATGGCACGGCGACCGCACGGCTGGCCTGGGAGCAGCCGCTCTCCTTTATAAACTACTGCGCTGTGGGCTGGCCTCGAAATGCCGCTAGACCACAGGCCCTGTGCGGATCCTGCCATCGGGAACAATGTTTGCTCTTAACCAGCTAGATGCCAGTAAGCACAGACTGATAAGCCCTGCTCGACCGAGCAGCACACCAAACCACGGCGACGTAACCTCCAGCTGGTTTAGTGCATGGACAACTTCAAACTTCTTTATCTAGATGCAGACGCTGTATCAAATCACCAATTAAAAACATCCCTCATTTCCGAGTCTTGTCTGCACAAAAGCGTTGCCATAGTTTAAACTAAAAACAGTCGTCTTTTAGCCACTGAAATTTTGTAAATTGACAAATTTCAATCAATCAGTGTAACTAGTTCAAATTGGCCTGTAATACACCAGCTGTCATCACACACGGACAGTTCTGGAATTAAGTACTAGTGTTTCAAGAGGAACGAGGACTGTAGTGCTGTAAGCGTGAGCATCTCTTCCCTTCGGTCACTTGAAATGACCTTTAAGGAGACTGCTGACAAGCCACTCTTTGACAGGGAATAATGAATTTGCTACTACTCCTGCCATTTGCCAGAGAGCATTTATAATAAAGGTAACGCCCAATTCCAAAAGAAAAAGTAAAAAACATTCTGATCTGCCCTTGGGTGACCGCAAGAGGAAGAACTAGCGCTCCATTAAACCACGTCCCTCCTCCTTTCCACTTCTACTGAGCAACTTCCTACCCTGAACAGTGTCAGGAACCTGAAAAAGCAGGGCAAGGTGAATCATGACGCGTGGGGGAGGAGGGAAGGAGAACTGCGCTTCCCGTGACAGCTAGGCATCTACCTGCTGAAACTGAGGAGACGTCAGGGTATTCTGAATCTCTTCTGCAGTCTGCGGCAGAGATTCCCCTGAGGGAAGGTAAGGCATCAACCGTTCTTGAACTTCAGCGTTGGCCAGGATGGGAGCCATTATCTCGGGAGTCAGAACAGTTGCCAGGTCAACTAGGAAGCAAATAAATGGTTGGCTGTTAAGACTATGCACAAAACCCCATGTTTTTGTCATGTAAACCAAATGATCTAGTCAGAGGAGTACTGAAACGTAGTTAGCACACTGCTAGCATCCTTTCCCCCTCTCTCAGTTTTGGAGAATAAGACTCTTGAAGCAGCCAAGAACAGCACTCAAATGAAAAAAAGAACCAAAAAAATTTAAAAGACCTTTCAAACCAATTTGGAACAGGACAGGACAGGACAGTAAAACAGCTCCAAAGGACTCCTGGATCCAACAGCTGTCTGGTCAGAACACTGTTACCTTGCTGTCCTCCTGCTCCAGATGGCACATTCATAGTAGCTAAAATGTTCTGAAGGTCACTCAATTGAATAGGCTGGGTTGGGCTCGTGGCTGAGCTGGTTCCATTACCCGAACTTGGTACGGGGCTCGGACTGGTCACAGACGCAGCCGCAGGAACGGACGGGGCAGGCGTTACACGTGTAGAAGAAGTCGTGGAAGATGGCGTCACAGCAGCTGATTGGCTGCGAGAGCTGGAGAAGATAATTAGTACAATTAATTCCCTGCGAAAAACAGCTTTGCCTCTTGTATTTTGAGAAGCCTCTTGTCAAGCCCTTACAATATGAAGAGCTCCTACCCTCATTTTAGAGAGGTAATAAGCAGTCTTAATTCCCATCATATTTCCTGCTCAGTAGGCCACGATTCCTCCCACAGACGTGGCAACTTTACGTTACAGTAATACTACAAACCCAGACCAGACAGGCATCCTACCTTGATGATGAACTGCTGGTCGGGGGTCCCCCACTTCCAAGCAGACTGGCCAGCCCGGGACCCGTCAGCGCACCCAGCCAGGCAATAAGCAGTCTTAATTCCCATCATATTTCCTGCTCAGTAGGCCACGATTCCTCCCACAGACGTGGCAACTTTACGTTACAGTAATACTACAAACCCAGACCAGACAGGCATCCTACCTTGATGATGAACTGCTGGTCGGGGGTCCCCCACTTCCAAGCAGACTGGCCAGCCCGGGACCCGTCAGCGCACCCAGCCCACCTTCCGTAAACATAAAGGAAGAACAGGTTTAGAAATTTGTTTCTTCAGGTTTTTTGCACCTCTCTGGTCTAGAGAGGTCACTCTTGTACCTGAAAGGTTTTATTTGCTAAAATAGAGGAGGAGGGGGTGAAAGAGCCCAGACCAACCCTCCCATCCCTTTCTGTAAATTAACAGCTCTCGTTTTCTGATCTTGCATCCCTATTAGAAAACTGCCTTAGAGTTGCATGTTTTAGAAATGACTCAATTTCTAGATGTACACAAGGATAAAGTTACTTCGGTTTGTGCCGTATATACACAATCATTGTAACAAACACAGCCCTCTCCTCTTATCTACTGGTTCCCAAAAATCCAGCTTTTCTCTGAACTTTAAAGCCAAGGCCCTCAGCAGAAGATTACAGAGGCAGCCTTTGAGTCACCACCACCGTCTCCCTATACACCTGGGTTTTGCAGCTTCAAACCTAACACAGAGATGCAGCAGCAGAATCAGCTGAGTCCTTAAACACTTCGTAGGCAAAGTAAGGACAACCCCGCGCACAAAGAAAGTGCTCCCAGTAGAGCAGCGTCAGGAAGCACAGCAGGAAACCAACTCTCGGCCTCTGAGCCAACTGCCATATGCAAAAGAAATCAGAATCGGCCTCCTTCATCCACACATCCCAACTACCAAGGACTTCTCGCAGCGTTGAGAACATCAGCTAAAAAGAGCTGGGGAAAGGCCTGGCTTCTAGGTCCACTGGAGCCGTCAGTGACCGACTGTCCCCCTACAATTCCTTTGAGCCACATCAGCCAAATGCTCCATTTACCACCACACGCTTCCCATCCAGTGGTTTCTTGTACGTACCACATCTAATCAGATACATGTCCCTACGCAAAGCACCTGCATTCATCACCCACCTTTTGGGAACTATCTGCAAGCAGAGGACAGAACGACAGCGCTCCATTAGCAAACACGTGATTAACCGAGGCTGCAGACCACGGGAGGTCAGGGCGAGCACCAGCTCCTCCTCTGTACAGGACCCACTCCTACGGAACCATGCCCGTAACACTTATGTTCACTGGTCACAGAGCTTCCACAGCAGCAGGAACGGCAGGGTGAAGCTAACCGGGCTGTACCACATGCTACTCTACTCAGTTTGTCCTTGCTAGGAAAGTTTACCCAGGAGCAAGACAGCTCCTTTGTTGCAGGAGCTCTGCAATAAAGGCAGAGTCCTGAGAGAGATGCAAACCAGATGCAAAAGAACAAGACGCTACTGGGGGAAGAGATCCACACAGATTCACCACAACCACTGTTTGCCGAGGCAAGCAGATGGTTTTCTTTGCGTTACTGTAGCGAGCTTCATGTCAAGCTGTCTTACGGCTAGATGTAAAGGCAAAGAAAGGAGAGCTGCTGAGAAAAAGCGTTGAGACGAAGAGGAAGACAGTCTCAGGAGTCACGTGAAGCTTCAAGAAGGAAGATCTTTTCCAAACACATCCTAAAAAGCCAGAATCTTCCGACACTAACGTTAGATTTGCATCTGAACATCCCACCAACATGAGATTTGCATCTGAAGCTAAAAAGACACAAGCTAGATCCACAAAAATGGACTTTGGGGCTTAAGCACAGAACCTTAGTTGCTGCCACCTGCTAAGCGTTACTTTCCCTACTTCCATTCGAGAGTCTGACTTCTCATGAAATGCTCTATTGGGTTTGGAGCATGGATCGCGTTAAGAACAGACCGCAGCAGGGACTCCAACACACCTCTCATCCCCTTCAGAAAAACAGCGCGGTGATTCAAGCTCTCCCCAGTGTTGCCCAGGAGAGAAAGCCCTAACCCGAGCCTTACTCCTCTGACTAGAGTGCTGTGGGGTGCGTACGCCCCAGCCTTCCTCTTGAACTCTTCCTACTTTGCACACAAATATTCACTGGATCAGAGACAACAGGAGCAACTCCACAGCTTGGTCACTGGGACATTCACCAGGGATGAGTCCCTGGCTTTCAGTCCCTGCTCCAGTGAATATTTAGGAGGAAGAGGAAGGGTGGAAAAAAGGAGGCGGGGGGGGGGGAAGCAGAAGATTCAGTGGAGCAAGGAGCAGAACAGGCGTTCCTCGCAGATCAAGCCCTAAGATGAGTGCCATGTAGAATTTGGTACCCTCCGTTTCCTGCATCCTTTTTTTGCCCCTTAGCTCATCTTTGAGGCAGGGCCTTGCTTTCTCATGTGAAAGCAGCGCTATTCAAATCAATAGCACTATTTGAAAATATTGTCAGGTAAGATTTAACCTGGCAGGAGAAAATACCATTTTGGCATAAAGATATTAAAGCATTTTACCAAGTCCTCCTAAGCCCGTTGGTCCGATCAGCTGCATGAGCTGGTTATGGCTCATGTTTCCAAGAAGGCTTTGCAAGCCACCCTCACCTAAAAACAAAAACATTCTGAAACACAAGATATTCACATAGTTTTTTTTTCACAGCACTCCGGCTCAAACAGCAGGAGATTAATTGGCATCACATTCTGTATGGAAAAAACAGTCTCAAGTGTTTACTGATTCATGATGCTCATAAAAGATAAATGCAACTTGGCTTCATAAAGAGGTAAGACTCCAGAGAATCTACTGGAAATAAAGAAAGATTTCTTCTGGCAGTCTTAACTTTCAGCCTGCACCTATTGTAACAGCAGAGTTTATTTTGCTAAAAGCACGTTTACACTTCTGGTATTAACATTGTCCCCAGCTCACCCTCCAGAGTCATCAGGAATTTCTTCCTAGGGAACTATAAGTGCTCGTTCTAAAAATGAATTTTAAAAAAGCCTCTCACATGAAGGAGCAGAGAATGGACTGTACCTCCTAATGCCGAGAGCTCGTGGCCTCCGCTTGCATTTCCACCCAAAGCACCAGGCATTGGTGGATTGTTGAGATACTCGTTCACTTTACGGCAGTGTTCTTCATCCTTGTCCGTCTTCGGCTCCTGCAAGAAAGTTGCTCTTGGTACAAGGCAAACGGGAAGTATTTTGTTCCAAGACCTTTATTATTGGCTTCCCACAAACCTGCATCCAGAAGAAGAGTCGTTTTGATCCTGCCTTGAACTTCAATACATACACACGGCCAGTAGTGCACTGAGGTACCCTCTTGAATTCACAGTCGTCAGGAAAAATAATCAAATCCTGGAAAATGTGGCAGTAGAAACAAATGTTTGAGGAGATATGTGAATATTCCTTTTAGCCCCCCCGAAGACCGCTGCCCTCCTCCCCAAACCTTCCTCCATCCGCTCTGAGGAGCGGAGAGGATTTGGAAGTGCAGCTCTGTCAGGCCACAGTGGCATTCTCATCCTAACTGGTCTTGGAGAAGCTCTTTCAGCCGCGCCAGCGGAACAAGAGCAAGACAGGTCGTGACTTCATGCCTCAGCACTGAAACACAAAACCATACTCACATCTTCGACGCTGCCCGAAGTCCTGTCCTTCCAGCAGAAGTGAATGAGGGAGTCATCGGTTTGCTGGATGTAGACAAGGCCTTTTCTCTTGTCTGGGGTCACAGTGCTGCCCTTCAGGGACATCTTCCCTGCCCGAAATTCCACCAGGTATTTGCTCGAAGAGCCACGGGAGCCTGGCACCAGGCTTGGAAATAACGCACCTGAAGACATCCTGGAAAGAGAGAAAGAGCAGCAGATGCGATGAGAAGCCTTCCCAAACCTTTCTCTCTTCTCAATATCGAATTTCCATCTTTAACAAGCGAGCTCCACGAAAGGAATCTGTCTCGCTGCCTGCAGAATTTCAGGGTGATCCACAAGAGCTAAAGCAGAACCCAGGACGAAGGCAGGACGCTCCGCAGATCCCCACTAATAGCGAGGAGCCTATCTGCTAAGGTACTTGGAAACGCAACCACCTTCCCCCCGACGCTTCCTCCTTCGGTTCCTATCACGGTTCACAGGACCAGGGACGCTTTAACGGCAAGAAGCCCTGCTGTAACGCTAGTCTTCAGACTCCTGCTTCAGCATCCCAGCGGAGAACCGCAGGCTGCCCTGCGCCAGAGCAGCCCTGCACGGGTGACCTCCTCACAGCTCAGCACCCCACCGCGCCCGGCCTCACCCACGGCAGCTTCGCGTCTCCCGAGGAGAGCATTTACCAGCCCCGCGGGTCGAGGCGTTGATGCCGGCAGACCGGTCGGCCTGCATGACTTTGCAGTTGTTTTTAGGCTCGCGCTACCGCTTAACACCCCCCGCGCTGGCCGATCCCAGCGC